GAGACCAGATCCAGTGTCCATATCTCTCACGTCATTCATTGCATCTTTAATCTGTCCCATCAGTTGTGGATCGTCGTCTTCCACATCATTTTCCTCTTCTCTGTTTGCTGCTCTGGCATCTTGTATGTCTTTTAATTTCTCTCTACATTTGAGCAACTTTCTGAATTTCTCATTTGCTTCGACACACCTTTCGTGGTCGACAATGTGGCGATCGAATGCTTCTTGGACAGTTTCACCATCATGAACTAATTCATCCTCATTTCTAAACGGCACGAAAAGGAGAATGATGGCATAATAGAAACTGTCTCTCTGATTTTCTTTATAGACATCGAAATCAATAAAGTTAGGAAGGTGCTCTTTCTGTAGTGGTCTATAGATTCGTTCGCCATTTTTATCTTTGCCCTTGTAAGTGAGTTTGGCTACAAAGTCATAAAGGCAATATGCTTCATGTTCTTGGGCTCTGTTTGGATAAAAGTGAGTGACAAGGCCCTCCCCATAAAAGTCTTCAGTTGATGGATCGTTTGCTGCTATTTCTTCAACTTCACTGAGTTTCTTTGTTAAATTTCGTTTTCTTTTATGTGGCATTTCTACATCGATCCATGATACCTCTCTTGATTTTCTACAAAGTGGCTCACCGAGTAATATATCACATGTTTCGTATAGTCCAATGGGTCGGCTGTCGAGACATCTTATGCCAATTCTAAACAATTTACTGTAGATGCCTCTATCATCTAAGATGTCTTGCCACAGATCCTGCATGTGACCTCTTTCTGCCTTTGTCACGTAGCCACTCACATAATCGGCCAGAGCAAGAGAACACTCACTGGTAAAGGATACATCGATATTAGCCTTCCATAATAATAGAAGCAGAGGATTGTAATCATTGACTCTCACTTCTTCCTCGCTCCGTTTAAGGTGATATATCCTTTTCTCTGCTTTCATGCTTTGTTGGACATTTTTCAGTACAGTTTCTTCGGAAACTGGGCGAGGAAATCCAAATTTGCACTTTGTAACAAATATGTTTTTGCTAAACTTTCTCTTTTTCTTACAGTAATTGCTGCACTTGTGTAACTGGTACCTCGTAACAATTTCGTGTAACTGTGGACAGGTATCTTTATTTGGTATGTTACAAGTTACTCTTTCGTCTATAAATCTGACGACATCTTCGGCTCTACTCTCACCGACAACTGGAGCATTGGCTATCCAGATTAAACAGTGATAGTGAGGAGCTCCTCTGGCCTGGTACTCTTTCTTGTAATAAAACTCGCTAACTGGGCCCAAAACCTGTCCCTTGATTAATACTTTATTAAACATTTCGTTAAACTTTAGAGAAAACTGTCTCGATACAGACACGGGATCTTCTGTGCAGAGTTTGCCAGTGTTATATGACGGCGGGACAGTGTTTACTTTGTGCAAGTACTCTCTAATGTCTTCAGAGGTATATTCTGCACAGCTAAAAGTGAGAAAGAAAGTGGGAGACCCAAACTCTGCTATCATGCGTTTCACTTCACTTCTTCTCAGGTACCAGTATTGGTTTGAGCCACGAACAGTGTTCATCATGGTACAGAGCCTCTTTTCAAGAAGTTCTCCATTCGTTTTGACTTGGTCTACAAACTGTGCAGCAGTCATGGAGGGACCTTTCACTGTATTGAGCAGTTTGAATATGCCACCCTTCAACTCCTTGATCTGTTTGATTCTGAGATAGTAGAAGAGGTAAGAGTGGCACAATTGATATCGAGAGTCTTCGCTCAATATTCGAGACTTTATGTATTCGGCTAAATTTAGATTCACTGGCCTTGGATGATACTCTCCAAACCTCCCAGTTGGAAACAGAGTTGGAAATCACATGACATCCAAGTGCATCTGTCTGTTGTCGAGTGGGTCTTCCCTGACATGCGTCATCTTGTATTGCTGGATGTCACTCCCCTTGTTTAATTTCGAATTCATGTTCTGAATCGTGTAAGACTGGAAGCCTAGAATGTCCTCATCGGTTGCTTCCTCCACCATAGTACTGGTAGCACTGTTGGCTGTTTCGACGACTTTTTTGCTACATCATCTAAAGATTCGTCGTCAAGATTTCCATAAAGCCAGTTGATGTCTTTCAGTTTCTCATAAGCAGCTTGTACTTTGTCGACATCAACTAAAGTGCGCCAGATTTTATTAATTTTTGTAGCTTCACTGTTTAAAATGACGTGCAATTCGAGATTTGGCAGATTTTTTGGTCTAAAGTCTTCTGCTTTACTTAAAGTTTTCATTGTTTTTTCATCTGGCAATGGGAGATAAAACACTGTCCCTTTGCATGCTTTTAAAGAGTTGTATATTAGGACTTTAGCAGTGTAAGTTCCCAGTCTAACAACAGTTTGGAAGCATTTTGCTAGTTGAATTAACTGTGTACTAAAGGCATCTAGGCC